CAGATGTATTGCTACTGGCTGATGTGTTTGAGACATTTAGAGACCTGTGTTTAAAAGATTACAAACTTGACCCCGTACATATGTATTCACTTCCAGGACTAACATGGGAAGCCTGTCTTAGAATGACTGGTATAAAATTACAATTATTTCAAGATATTGACATGCATTTGTTCATAGAAAGTGCAATCAGAGGAGGAGTCAGTATGATTTCCACACGTTACGCTAAAGCCAATAATAGATATATGGGCGAACATTATGATCCCAATCAAGAAAGTGTGTATTTAATATATTTAGATTGTAACTCGCTATACTCCACAGCTATGTGTGAGACACTACCCGTGGATGGATTTCGTTGGACGAATGAGATAGACTACAAATACAATCAAAATGATGAGTTTGGATATATTTTAGAAGTTGATTTAAAATATGATAAAAGCTTACACGATTTACATAATGACTATCCATTAGCACCTGAGAAAATGAATGGCAAATTAATACCTAATTTAAATGACAAAACTAAATATATTTTACATTATAAAGCATTAAAAAAATATGAGGAATTGGGTTTAGTTGCTACAAAATACCATAGAATTTTAAAATTTAGACAGTCCAAATGGCTTGCACCCTATATTAATTTTAATATTGAAAAACGCAAATGTGCTAAAAATGATTTTGAAAAAGACTTTTATAAATTGTTAAATAATAGTCTCTTTGGTCGAACAATTATGAATCAACGCAAGTTTCGTGATATATATCTCAAGGATGAGTCACTATTAACTAAATATGTCACTAATCCAAGGTTTGACTGTAGCAAAAAGTTCGATAACAATTTACATGCTATACATTTAAATAAATTAGTTGTAAAGTTTAATAAACCTATATATTTGGGAATGACCATTTTGGATATTAGTAAAGTAATAATGTATGATTTCCACTATAATTATATGTCAAAATTTAAGAATAAAAGATTTCTAATGACAGATACAGATTCTTTAATGTATTCTATAGTTACAGAGGACTTTTACAAGGAAATAGAATGTGACTTACACTATTTTGATACCTCTGGATATAGTAAAGACCATTTCTTATACTCTGATAAAAATAAAAAAGTCACTGGAAAGTTTAAAGACGAATTAGATGGTCATATTATGTATGAATATTGTGGTTTAAGACCAAAGTTATATTCTTATATTCCTCTAAAATGGTTATATGAAGAAGACAAGCAAGCTTTAGAGGTGAAGAAAGCTAAAGGAGCTGATGGTGCTACAGTTAAACATCTCCTTAGACATCAACATTATTTGAACTGTCTTGCCACTGGGCAAGATTACTATGAGAATGTGACAAGAATTAAATCTACAAATCATCATCTTCAAACCTTAACTATGAATAAGAAAGTACTATCGTTTGACGATGACAAGAGGTTTATTCTGGAAGATGGTATCAATACTCTTGCACTTGGTCATTATAAAATTGATCAAACATAAATCTATATTTGCCATTATTCTTTAACCTTTCTTTGTCTATTACAAAAAAGCCATATTTAGTTTTATCCCAACATTGATGACAGAGATTTCTAAATTGGTTAAATGAAAAATCATTACCAACATGATTGTTATATACATGTTTTAAATTTAAATCATCTTGTTTAAATAATATTAGGAAATTTACATTATCACGTAAATGTTTGTGTACTTTGCTGTAAGATTGACACAAGTAAAAACTGTTAATATTTTTATGTCGACCCATTGAGAAAAATTGTGTAATATTTGGACTATTTATGTCATCAAATACAACAACTGACTGTGATTTTACATCATTTGGTGTGATTTCACAGTCAGTAAACGTGTGTAATTTCACTTCGTCACACAAACTAAATATTTCAATTATTTTTTTATATTTTTCTTGTTCTAAAGATTTTGATATTAAATATAGGTTTGTAAATTTTAATCCTTCCTTTCTTACAATTAAATTATAAATTACAACCGTTTTCCCACTTCCACTGGGACCACAAATAACACATCGAATATTGGTAGGAAAAAGACCCAAATTCTTTGGTATATTTTCCTTAGTATGTACTATTTTAAATTTGTGTTTTTGTTGAATAAAAGACATTTTTTATATAATAAAAATGGTAAAAAATAATAAGAAAACATGTAAAAAGGGCAAAGGTTTATTCCTAAAGCCTTACAGGGGTCGAGGGTTATTGAATACTCTTATAAATAATCTTCCATTTCCACTTCACATACCATCATATCGGTACTGTGGACCTGGAACGAATATACGTCAAAATTTAGCCAAAAATGTACCTCCAAAAAATAAGCTAGACTCTTATTGTAAAGAGCATGACATATTCTACATGAATAATCCCGATACTGCTGCTCGGAACAAAGCAGACATGAGATTAGCAGACTTAGCTTGGACTAGAGTAACGGCAAATGACGCAAATCTTGCTGAAAGAGCTGCAGCTTATGCGGTGACAAATTTGATGAATGCAAAAGCAAAAATGGGAATGGGATTAAAATTTAATAAAAAAGATGGACAACTACCAGCTGTTAGAGGCCGCAAAAGACGTGCCTCACTTCCGGGGGGTGTACCTAAAAAACGAGCTAAAAAATCTAACACCAAAAGTAAAAGAGTGCGGAATAGTTAATTTAGACAGTTCATCTGGCACACATTGGACAGCATATCGTAAAAATAAAGATATTGTAATTTATTTTGACCCATTTGGAATCCAACCTCCAAAAGAAGTAATTAAATATTTTGAGGGACATAAAATCTTCTATACTACTGATCAAATACAAGATTTAAATAGTTCCATTTGTGGAATTTTATGTTTATCATTCATAAAAAATTTTTGTTTATAAAAATGGATTCATTTACTATAGCATTTTCGGGTACAGAGCCAGAGCTAAAGTCAGTGTTCTTTCCTCCCATAGAATTAAATGATGATTATGTAATTGGATTAGTAGATTTTCAAAGTTATAATTCTATATTTAATGTAAAAAAACCACTTAATACTTTAACATATTACAAAGTAGAGAAAAAAACATTACCAAAGGGAGAGATCTTAGTTGATGATTTAAACCAGTTATTAGATGGTAAACTTAAAGTTATAATACATAAGAATGGAGAAGCATTAATTAATACTAAAGTCAAACTTTTATTCAAAGGGCTTATTCCAAAATTAAATCAACTTAAAGGCAACAAATTAACCATTGAAGAAGGTGATGATGTTTTCTATTATGACCACAAAGCTCCAGTTACAATAGAAATTTCTGAAGGAACATATGAGGTGGTTGAGCTTGCAAAGGAAATTCAAAAGCAAATCCCAGACTTTTTCCTTACAGCTAATAATAAAACTATGAAAGCGACATTACTTTCTAAGAAAAAAATTTTAATTTGATGGAATATAATCCTGATTTATTAGTTGCTGACCCCACATCTTTGAGTGGATTTAAATATATAGATAATAGACCATATATACCAGAAAACTATGTATTTAAAAGAATGGAAGATAATCTATTGATTGGGGCTAATGGTGATGTATTTAGAGTTACAGGAAAGGATGATGTTATAAAAAATGAATGAAATTGCATACGAACTTCATAAGCCTGCAAGAAAGAATTTCATTAGAAGGTCTTTTAAAGTATTGGGTATAAACGAAACCATACAAATAGATTTAATTGATATGCAAAACTATGCTAGAGAGAATTCTGGCAATAAATATATTTTAACTTTAATAGATACATTTTCTAAAAAAGCTTATGCTGCTCCACTAAAGAATAAGACAGGGTTAGTGGTTACAGAAGCCATTAAAACCATTCTACCAAAGGGGGTTAAAAACATTCAATCCGACAATGGAAAAGAATTTTTTAATCAATATTTTAGCAAACTAATGAAACAATTAAATATTAATCACTATCACACATTTTCTACAACTAAGGCTGCAATTGTGGAGAGGTTTCAGAGAACGTTAAAGAATTGGTTATATAGGGAATTTAGTGCTCAGGGGAGTTATAAATGGTTGGATTTACTTCCAAAGTTAATTCGAAAATATAATAATAAAGTGCATAGATCTATAGGAATGAAGCCTAACCAAGTAAATGTTAAGAATAGTAAATATGTGCATGAGAGGTTGACTTCTAAAGTAGAGCAAGTTAAAAAGCCAAGATATAAGGTAGGTGATAGCGTAAGGATTTCCAAGTATAAACATGTTTTTAGTAAAGGTTATACTCCAAATTGGACAGGGGAACTATTTACAATAGCAGAAGTTAAGAATACAAAGCCTGTGACTTATATCTTGAAAGATGAAAATGGCAATATAATCAGGGGAGGCTTCTATACAGAGGAGTTGTTAAAGACCAAGTATAAGGACATGTATTTGGTAGAGAAGGTAATTAGGAGAAAGGGTGATTCATTGTATGTCAAATGGCTTGGGTTCCCAAGTAGCCAGAACTCATGGATTTCCACTAAGGATGTCCAAGGGAGCATGTCATAAGCCATAAGCGTGCCCGAGTTCACGCACAAACCTCGCATGATTTTGAGAATATACATAGGAATGGATGTGGATTTGAAATTTTAATGGAGTTTGAACATTTGTATGGGCTTGTATTGGACGAGAGCCGGGTCTTAAAAAAAGTGGCCAAAAAAAAATGAGCCATATTCCAGACGTGTTTTTTAGTATTAAAAAAGTAGAAAGTTTATATAGGGGTGTATAGGTCGAGAGCTGGGTCTTTAAAAAAGTGGCCAAAAAAATGAGCCACTAATTTTTCTCATTTTTCCCCTATAAAAAGTGCCCTAAAAGTGTCTCTAAAACGCCGAAAGTGAGGTAAAACCATCATATTATATCTACTAAGGGAGAAAGTAAGACATTACATATTTGAGACCATATGTTTGAAGTGTGAGATTTAAATATGGTAGAGAATATGCAATGATCCACTTTAACTCGTGTATTGAACGTTACTTTTCGCTACTCTACAAGGAATAAAAATAATAATAAATGCAGATATTGGAATATTTATTTTTTTTCTTGAACATTTAAAAACTATATTTCTGCCGCTTAGAAAGCGACCTCCTCCAGCATTGGTTTAGCATTAGCGCGCAGGTCGTTTTCTAAGCGGCCGAACTATAATAGCATTTTTAAGGCTTGGCCTTCTATTTAATCTTAAAGTTTAAATTTACATTGATTGTACATTTTTGGTTGTTGCAAATTGAAACCACTGATGAAATAATAACAAATGTTTGTTTGTTTATGCCAAAAAAATCCAAAAAGGTAGTAAATATTATTTTTGCATTGTAAACATTCTTTTTTGCATAGTAAACAATGTAATAATGAATTTTGCAGGTGATAAACATAGGCAAAAAACAGTTAATTTCACGGTAGTGTAGTAAAAAAAAAAGTTTTTCATCACACTACGTTGTTTTTAGCTGTTTCGTTTTTTTACAAAATATACTATTTTCTTATGTTAAAAACTTCATCATAACAAAAAAGTAATAACTGTTAAATTTGTAAAATATTCTTTGTTTAAATGTTAAAATTGTTAATTATAAAACTGTCTTAAATCATTCAACTACATCTGTCAATGGCAAATTTTGTCCACCTGTGAAGATAAATACTTTTCTTTTGGTAAGTGAAATATATTAAAAACAGATCCTTGGTAAAAGTTATGCTCTGAAGCCTAAGAAAAGTCTAACATGACAATATATATTTAGGTATAAGCAAAGTGGGTAGGAAGCTATACATTCCCAAAATCAACTTGATCTGTGGAGTTCTGTTTATGTGTACATTATTAAAATAATTAAATGTAAATATCACATAATCGCAGATATAACACACATCCAGCTGCACAACTCTTGCATCCTCTGTGTCCTGTTAACTCTCGGAGCAGAGAAGAAAGTTCTTGCCTTGCACCACCTTCAATGTTGGTGGTTCTTCACCAACCTAGGCATTATACAGTTCTTAGGCTTGAAAATTAAAAGCAGGATTGAAAGCTTATGTAAAACTTCATGAGGCACATGTTTATTTTGAGCCCTAAGAATTATCTAGCTGTGTAGTAATTTTAAGTGTAGGCTATACTTACCTTAAGGTTCATGAGAAAATAAGCTGTTAATGCAGCATTTAATTAATATTTTGAATTGGTATTTCTGCATTGAACCACAGAAAACATACTATTACCCAGAATGCTAACCGCGTTTTAAATAGTGTTTAAGTACTCGGAGAGAGCTTTGCCTGTCAATTCGTAGACAGCGCCACCAGCATGGCAATGTCATATGGCGCTGTCTACGAATTGACAGGCATTTAAGCTCTCCACGAGTACTTAAAACTTTTTAACACACGGTTAGCATTCTGGGTAATATGTTTTCTGTGATTGAACATACAGAAAGTTGAATTATATGTTATGTCATTGCTTGTCCCTCAGAATAAATTATTCTGTGCTTGTACCTACTCTTTGTTACATATGGCATGATGGATTGTCTTTACAAGTACAGTAGACTCCCTCTTATCCGGACACCTTTTAACCGGACTACACAAGGCGGAATTGTCATCATTGATTGCTTTACAAATTTGACAGTGTTGGATATAAAAAAAAAAAAATAAATAAATAAACAGGATTTGGACCATCAAGCAATTAAATACAGCAAGTATGTTAAAAGTATGAATAATGTATACATGTTCATATACATATACATGCATATACATATACATATACATGTTTATTTATTTAGCAGGATAAACTACCTTTTCCACATTTATTTGAGGAGTTATTAATGTATTAATGGTATTTGAACTTGTATTTGAGAAAATATCAAATGTAAATTAGATTGGTCAGTTGAATTTGATAAAACAAAAAAATGTATTTGAGAATATTCTATTGTATTGTATTTGAGAAAGTATTATATGGAATTGAGTAATCGTTAATTTTATTTCAGAATTAGGGCTTTTAATTTGAGATGTTGGTTATTAATCAGCTGAATTTTGAGTTTCTCATAATCAAATCACAAGTTCTCAAATACATTTAACCATTTCTTATAATTTACTGCTTTTAAATTAATTTGATGCCTTCTCAAATACAACTGACTATTCTCAACTTCATTTGATTTTTTCTAAAATATATTTTGACGAATCTCAAATACAATTTATATGTTCTCAAATAAACATAACTGTTTCTCAAAGAATTGGAAAAGGTGTAGTGTAAAATATTTTAAGTAAATTATTTGATTAGATTTTCTTAACGTTCATTTATTATTCTTTTTGGATATAAATAAGCTGGGAAATATTTGGTTTCATATATTTTATTATGAAAACACACTAATAAATAAACAAACACAGGAAGGCTACTGTAAAAAAAAATTAGATGTCTATGATAATTTAACATTTTATGGGGAAAATGTATACCAAGCTATAATTTTAACTGTGGAGTAAAATTTAGTATTTTTATAAAATCTTGTAACATAAAAAAAGAAATGCTCATTTGGGCTTAGCCTTTGAATCACTATGATATATACAATAAACAGGTTAGATTACCTTCTGTACCGCCTAGTGATTCTACTGCAGAAGATGAACTACCATGGTTTAGACTTTGACTATTAATAAACCTGTATCCAATAGTCAATGGTTTAGAGCTCTTGGTGGCTTCCCTCGGCAATACACAAGGTAATTCAACCTATTTACCTATTTCTTTTAAGTATCACAATAAGTTTCAGTCAGTGGCAAAAAAAAAGAATATAAACAATCTGGAACAAATGAAATAACTTGACATGCTTTAATCAAAGGTAACTAGACTAAACAAGACCCATACCAATTAACTATGATGTACTACACCTAACCCACATTAAAAAAGTATTTCAAGCGCAAAGATGATAGTATATGTCATGGCACCAACATCTAGAAGTACTAATTTCTCGTGATGTCTGAAAGCTTGAAAAGCATATTAGCACAACAAATTAAACAGTAAGGTTCGCTATATTAGTAATTTCTACCGTGCAGAGTATTGTACTAATTTGTTAATTATAGTAGGTTACACAGTTTTCATGCACTCCCCTACAAGTGCAATAAAAACTTACATCATTTACTATCTGTCTTTGCAGTTTCTTGTTTTTCAGTCTGAAATGAAAATGAAAGTTTACACATATTGCATACATACAAAAAGGCAAACTTAAGAGTTATATTTATATCATATTTGTGAAATAATTCAACTCTAAAGGTGATTTAATCAATAGGTAGTTATCTAGAATATTAACTTTATCTATATTGACTAGACGTAAATATACTAAGTTGCATAAAACAATACAAAATGTGAAATAGTATACAAACATTAAAACAATTTTAAATGAGTATAATTGGATTTAACACACTAAAATTTTACACAACATGAAGGGGTGAAACACACACATCAAAACACGCTAAACATTTTACAAAAAAAGTCTTGTAGTTAAAAGTCAATGTAAATAACTCATATTGAATCCATCTAAATCGAAGATACAGAGTTATAGTAATAATATCTTCCAAGTTAGATAGTAACAAGATACAGGTTGAAATTATTAACCATTTCTTTAAAAAAAGCTTTAGAAAACATGGGGACATTGAAACCCTGGCAACCCATCATAAAACTCTCACTTTCATTGGTGCCAATTGAAACCCATTGTCATATTTTATTATGTCTGTTTCTTGTAAAAAAGGGAATATTAACACATACATATGTAACATTACAGTTCATTGTCACGGCCCAAGGTAGAGGTATACATTTTAAACACATAGACCGGGTGTCACTTGGTCAACAGTACACGCAGACCGCGGACCAGTAATGCAGCAAAGTAAAAATCAGTATTGCCAACTACCATATCGATGGTTATATGCACAAACATTGTATGTCCAATTTTTTCACTTTTGACATTTTTATATATTTGGAAAGCTGTAGTCTTCATCTTTCAGATCACACATATTGTATGTCCATATTACAATAGGAAAAATTAATATAAATTCTCAAAATAAAAGTGTTCACTTTGGTATGGTGTAATTTTATCCTGCACACTTGTAGCATGTCCAATGATTGCAGTACCAGCTGAACAGAGAAAAACTCCTTTAGAGCACAGATATAGTATCTTTGGACTTGCAATGATTGTGCATGAAAATACAAGGCCTACTATCTCTGGTATTTGTTTTTCATCTTGTAGTATGTCCAAAAATCTGATGATCTCAAGTGCACTCTTATAGTATGTCCACATTTTATTTTACAATTAGGTTAGGTTTAGGACATACAGCATCTGTGCACAACAGAACATAACACCAAAAAAGAATCCGTGAATTGGCTAAAGGTAAAGTGGTTTGGGTTTTAAAAAGCAAACCCCTTTGAAATTCTATACAAGTACGAACTTAACAAGGAAATAGAGTTTTTGACTCTTGATGTACGAATGGATCCCGAGACGCCATTTGTCTGGGAACAACAACTTCTCAGTCCAAAGTACACCGAGCCTATTCCGGTTTCCAGCGCCAAGAAAAAGGATTTGATGTACCTACTTAAAGCGGGTGTAATCCCAGAAGCATTCACGCATTTTGTCACTGAAATCCCTAGTTCCGCATCGGCAAGAGATATTGTACTTTACGTCATAGAGGAAGAAGAAGGAAACTAGTCTCTCACTGAAGTTACCAAAAAGAAAGAAGGAAGACGCAGTAGAAGAGATGTTAGGGCAAGAAACCAGAAAAAGAAGTAATGTAAAGAGAGTTTAAGAAAACCAAGGAGGCTAAAAAACCCAGAGAAAATAAAAGAAATTAAAACTTCATAAGAAAATAAAGTAATGTGTCTAAAGGACAACACTGTTGAATAAACCCCATAAAGACTGACTCAACAAAATACAGTTTGTACCACGATTACTAGAAAAAACCCGGTATGGATCATAAACATAAACAAAATGGCGTTGTTGGCCCGAATCCTGTACTAATAGCATTGAACATATGTTTTAGCAGTTCCATTTAACCAATGTTAAATCATGTTTATTTTCGGGCCAAAAACGTCATTTGTTTATGTTTATGATCCATACCGGGTTTTTTCTAGTAATCGTGGTTTGTACTGTATAGGTACCATTTTACAAAAGGCTGACCTAGACAAAAGACAAAAGACTACCTGATTTATTTAGTGCTTTGTTTAATGTTTCGTTTAGGCCGATTTGTGTTTAAGTTTCTAATATATGGTAGGCCAAGTAATTTTTATTTTTAAAATGTTAAAATAAAAGTAGTCTACAATGTAAGACAATAACAGTCATGGGCGTCCGCAGAATTTGGAACAGGGGGCAACCCCAATATATAGGTCTAACGAACCTCCAGGGGTTCGGGGCCTTCCCCAGGAAAAAATCTGAATATATAGTGTTTTAAAACATATTTTTACGCTATTTTGTAATACATAAAACCAACCAAAACAAAATATAGTACATTGTGCATCAAGGACGGTCACCTGAGGGAGTCGTTGTTTTTTATGCCAACATTAACAATTAACCAAACAATTATAAAGAAAAAAAATTATAGTTGAATAAAGCCTAGATAACAGCCAAGAAAGTTTATGTTTTGTTTTCTGAATAGTTTTGTTAAAGTATGAAAGTATACAACGTATAAAAGATTTTTACATCTGTTAGTCAACTACTAATTTGATTTAAACATCAATTTAAAACATTTTTTAGACATGACCATTTTGAACATACTTTTATAAATTCCTTAAAACCCAAGTGATCACAGAACATTATGTGTATTAAATTTATTTCTAATTTTTTTTAGCCAGGGGGCGCCCATGATAACAGTTGTTTAAAATTTTCATTCCTTACTAAAACCATCTAGGGGCAGTTTTTGTATTGCACACTCGTAGCATGTCCATAAATCTGCGCGTTCAGAAGTGCACACATATAGTATGTCCAACATGGTTTGATTTACAAATTATTTGTAAAAATGTGGCTTGAATAAAGATAAAACTATTTATGTAGATGCATTTTTAATAAATGGGGCCAATACAATTTATTTATTTCAAACATTTTTCAGTTTTAGTTTAAGTTTCCCCCATAATACAAATTTTGTTTTTGCGGTTTCCGAAAGTTTACCAAAATGGACATACAACTATTGTGCTTATAACCATCGATATGACATTACTAATCATCATATCCACAGAACAAGTGACGCACATATGCAACAGACATCCCTGTAAACCACTGCAGAGCATTCTGGGCCTTAGACCGTTGCGAAGATATAAGCTTTTTTATAACAGTGGACATATTTTAATTTGAACAGCTGTCGCATATATGCAACAGCAGTCTATGAGTAGAAACTGGCATTCGCATATGTGCGTTGCTGGTCCATAGGAATGAAAAATTTAGTACTATTGTGTAACGACCGTGTTACTAATGTATGTACTGGTATGAACTTGCAATAATTATCTTAAACCTACTCTCTAATTTTGAATAATTTGAAGTAAAGGAAACAATTAATTTATTGGCAAATCTTTCACTTATCTCTAAAAGTATTTCAAAGTTAGCATATTTAAACAAACGAGAGGTCGTCCAGTGGTCGAAACTCGACCAAAAATATGCAATGTACTCACTTCTCTATTTTCACCCCACACTGTAAATAAAACATGTGATTGGAGTTTCTTCCATTTGTTTTGATTTTCTGTTTATATTTCGTTGTTATTTCGTCACCAGCATGGCAACGCATAAAATCCATGTTAATTTTTTTAAATTTTCAAACTCATTTTTTGTGCTTATCTTTGAGCCTATTTAAATTTATAAAGGGATTCTGCACACCTACAGGAAAATTGCTTTCTAACGGTATTCGCAGATTTACCCCACGATGCACACAAGCTGAGAAAAAAGGTTTTAAAGAAACATGCTTGCCTATTAATATATAGATAGATTGAAACCATAATATAATTGGAAGCAAGGTTTAAGGTTAAGTGTTTGTGTTTTGGACAGAACAGTATGGTCCTTAATTTCCCCTTATACAGGAAATCATTTTATTTATTATCAATATTTAGCCAAATAATGATAATAAACAATTATAAATAATAATAAATTATTTCTGCAATTATTAATGAATAGCGGTTATACTATTGTGTTACCATAGATGAAGTAAAGTTACCATTGATGGTGAGCTGTTCCTGATCATTGGGCTTTAAATAAATGATCCTGACTAATGAAACCGCTGATCTTAGTCAGTAACAAAGCTACACAGGTCATCACACACCATTCTACACTCATCCTTCACTCATATTTGGGTTAAAATACGTACCTAGGTGGCGTCCCCATCTCAATGATTGATAGTTGAAATTGATAGTGGATAGTTACTGTGCATCAAACACCTATCTACCAGTTTCAGCTACTACAACGATGAAGGTCTACACGGTTTAACTATGAATACAATTCAGTGATATCTCATGTTTATGTTTAAGTCTTTTTGTTACTTATTTTTTAATCATTTATAACCAAAAGGAATAGAATCATCTCTTCTATTATCAATACAAATCAAAAATTATTTTTATGATAAAAAGCAATACTATACATTTAACACTACGCAGCTAAGTTATTTTGTTCTGACGTGACACACTATGCCAGTCATATTGGAACGGAACTAGAGAACAAAATTATAAAATAGAAAAGTCAAAGGTAATTAATTAGTTCTAAAATTATAAACAATATGTACAAACAAACTTAATGCTAACATTCTGTCATGATATCATACATAAATCTGTAACCCTCCAAGAACACCTCTTTGGTAAATGAACACCTTTGTTACGTGATTGGCTCAATTAAGGTATCTAGTACCATGTTGGGGTATTGGCTTTCTACTCATCGCTCTCGCCTTGGTTTCCGCGAGCTATAGGTTTGAGAGCCACACTATCCTGTAAGTCAGATGTGGTTTTAGAGACAGTTGTGGAGTTAGTCCTACTGGGGCTGACCTTTGATCTCCCAACCATTGAAGTATCTCTGATGATTTGCCATTTCGGACACAGCTTCTCATTCAGTAGCCTCAAAATCCTGCGCTTGCAGACAAATATGATGAATATGAGAACACCCTGGGAACATACGAGAATAATAAGCGCAATATTGATACAGTACCGGTATATTGGTTAAGACAGGGGTGCCCATCCCCCCCAGTCCTCATGACGCACCCCCCCCCCCAAATTCGCATATGACCCCCCCCCCAAATTGGCATATGCCCCCCCCCCCTATAAATGAGGTACTTCAAATGTGAAAAAATAAGCTTTTCGTATTATTCTTAAACTATTATATAGGTATTGAAAATTCAAACACAGTCTATAATATGTAAAATGTATATTTATATTATATTTCTAGAGTATAATTTCACAGTTAACATTGTTTTGTTATAGTACAAAAGAAATATCAATCAAATAATTCTGCTCAAATATCAATTTCAAAAGAGTTAATTGTGAACGTTACGTTACAGTAATTGGTTTTAAAACAGAAAAATATTATTACATAATTTTTATAAAGCATTGCCTCCAGAATTTATGTATGACGATAAATTGGGTTAGGTCTACGTCAATCCTATTGTAGTCTCGGCCGAATATTTTCTAAAGTTGTTTACTTTCAGGCCCTTGTCGGGCGTTACTACACACATACAATTACTTGAACACAATGTTGTTGTCAATACAAAAACATTTTACATTTAGGATACACGAAGGTCGAAGAGCACGCATAAATGGAATAACCATAAATTAATTTGCGATTGGGCATAGCACACGCCACGACGACTACCCAACGTTTGTCTGGTGACATTGACCTTGGAGGGTGAAACGGTGAAACTGAAACAGCTGATTATGAGCGCCTTTGTTATCAATGTCCTCAATCCTGCCAAATACTAAATTATGGTACAAATTTAGATTTCCATATAAATAAATATTAAATGTTTGCCGTAATATAGTATTTTACAGGATTGGGGATATTAACAAAGGCACGTTATAATCAGATGTTTCACCCCCTCCAAGGTCAATGTCACCACAACCACACAGACTTCGGGTAGTTGAGTCGTGCCCGACGTGCGAGTTATGGCCGGCCGTGCATTATTTTATGTTAAATCATTGAATCCGTGTTCTTCGTGTGTGTATTTTATGACGACACTGTGTCAAATAATTTTATGTGAGACGACAAGGGGTTGAAAATGAAAGGTTTTGAAACTAGTCGCATGATACTACAATAGGATCGACAACGTAAGTAAACCTATTTTAGTTCACATAATGTTTCATTAACAATCAAATACCTATAAGTTTATATTTGTTGTATATAATATTTGAGTACCAACTCAACTACCAATAATTACAATTAGCATACATTAAGATTAAATAATTCTTCAAATGTTCTTTCAAAGGAAGTGAAAACAACTAGATAATAAATTCATTTGTACGACACAAAAATTCGAAATACTAAATCAATTATATGCCATTTACTAGTCATTAGTGAAGCAATACATTATTTACTATAAAGTATCGTGGGAGAATTTATGGCGAAGATGAAGTATATAAAGGCTACCATTACATGTACAGTTATTTACGACACACAATCCAAAGGGCCTACTCTCAAAAACAAGAAAAAAACGAGGTTATGAAAAATTACTGGATTTTCATTATTTGGTAGTGCTTAGTATTTGCTAAGTTTTCATAGGCAGCAGTTCTAACTTATTAGTATGTTTTAAAATATATATTAAAAAAAAACAGTTCAAACAACAATACACAATATACAAATAAACAAATGCATACAATATTTTACAAAGAAATACATACAATACAAACGGTTTGATAGGTAATATTTGTATTTAGTCATAGGATCAGCTTAGGGGCTAGAAAACGGGCATTATAACAGATTGAAGTCAAATATTTAAAATTTGTAGGCTGTGGCCATCTTTAGTTAGTTCATCTTTAAACCCTGCATAGCAGTTTTTGTCTTTGGGATGATGTAAGAGAAAACCTGTCAATTATTTCTTGGTTGGAAATGGATTCTAGTACATTTTTTTCAGCAGATAGAACCATTAGGTTAGACAGCCATGAGTCCCCCATAGCTGATCTGAGCCTGTTTTTTATAATTTTGACTCGACTCATTGCTCTCTCCGCTGAACAACTGGTTATAGCTAAGGAGAGTAAAGTTGCATAAACAACTTTCAAAGCGTAGAAGCTAGAAAAGTTAATCAGGCATCGGTAGGGTTTCAAAAATCCTTTAGTCACCCATAAAATCTCCACTTGCTCTGAAAAATCTACACTTTCACTTTCAGACGGCTCTGTATTAAATTCTTCCCCTTCTTCTGATATAAGTTTGCTTTTTCCTGAGTCTATGGCTGTTTTTCTTGTTTTTGGAGGAATCAAGTCGTCAACAGGGACACTAGGATGAGCAACAGCATACAAGTGACTAAAAGAGTTGAGCTCTTCGCTTACAATGCTGCTATCCCAGCCGTAGAACTCGCATAGAGCTTTTACATTTTCCGGTAAAACACTGCCTTTAACATCTTTGACTAAACCAGCATGAGTGAAATGAGTCATCTCACTTACCATAGCTAGGGAGTGGTCTGAAAATCGATCTTCCAATTGAAAATGTAACGCATCTATCAGCTTGAAATATAGCTCAACTTTTAGCTTCTTATGAGTATCAACAATGGGCTCGTCTAGCCCTAGCTCGTCAGCAAACCGTTTCCTTTTTCTTTGTCTTTTTTGTACTGCTTCAGGAATATCATATTTTTTTGAGAACTCTTCTGCGTTTTTGACAACTTTGTCCCATTCTTCATCATTTCTCAATTTGGCAATCTTGGTTTTGGTGCTTTGAATTATGGCTTGGACGCCTCCATAGTCCAAAACAATACCTTGCAGGCAAATAGTAACTGGGTGCATCACGTTAAACGCCGCTTGAGCAACATGAAGAGCAATCACCGTTTCACTGTTGTTGAGCTTTGTTAAAATTCCCTTTGAAAGTATGGTAGTCTCAGAGTCAAAGATTTTAGAATTTTGTAGCTCAAGCAGAGATGATCTTACCTCCTCATAGCATGCCAAAACAACTTTCACAGCTTCTGCCTTGTTCTGCCACCTGGTTGTTTGTACCCTCCTCAGTCTCATTTTCTTTTCTGAACTTTTCTCTCTTTTGGACATACTGTTCACCAGTACATCATTTCTTTTGTGACCAGAAGAAAACAATCGGTATAGTTCTTCTAGAATAGAAAACAACTCCTTCATCTGAGGGCAGATGCTGATCGATTGCTCGATAACCAACGCAAACCTGTGTGATGTGCACCACACGTAAAATGCTGTGTTTGTTTCCTTTTGGATAAGGGTTTTCAAGCCAGCAACAGAGCCTCTCATATTTGCAGCTCCATCCATGCTTTGTCCAACGATAAGTTTGGGATCTAGACCAAGCTCCTTTAATGTTTCCATTAATATAACTTTCAAGTTGTTCCCACTAGTATCTGCTACTGTAAATACTTTTATTAACCTCTCAACAGGCCTTGTCAATTTACCATCGTGTTCCACATACCTGATTATTAACGTGGTAACCTCACGTTTGCTCACATCCTGTGTTGAGTCCATTATTACTGAAAACTTATTACTTTCACTGACCTTGGAAACGACTTTCTCGACAACAAGGTTGTTCATGACCTTGACCAAATCAAAAATGTTCCTATAACTCAAAAAATTGGAGCCAAGCTTTTTCTTATTTTGCCTAGCTTTTTCAATTTTTTCGTAGTACATCCTAGCATCGGGATTATGTTTGGCCAACAGTTTAAACAGATTCAAAAGTTTTCCGTCTATCACATTGTTTTTCCTAAAAGCGATCATTTCTGTTGCCAAATACCTAACACAGTCAATAACGACTGACAGTACATCTCTTTGGTGCTGAACATTTTCGTTGTGGTGTTTACATGCTGCATTGCCTACATGCTTTCCATAGAGCCAATGTAGTCTCGCTGCCTGGCACCCTAAATGCATGTCTGATCTTTCATGCTTCTCAATATCACGTATTGCATTACCTAAGCACCAACCTCGATATCCAGCCCCTGCTGACCAAACAGAGTGTTGGTTTGGTAGGGCAAAAAGCATGCAATGTAAGCAGTATGCAGAGTCATTTAACTTACTATAAACAAGCCATTCTCGTTCTTTTTTCACCCCATCAGGAAGTTCATAGAAACGCCAATTTAGTGAAAACTTTCTGTTATTTTGACTAGGGAATTTAAAAGTAGGATCAATTTTTTGTTTTTCCAATTTGAGAGCCAGCTCAATGTCTTCAGGTAAAATTTTTTTGTTACCATAAAAAGACGGATCCTTATAATCTTCTAACGATGACAGAGCTTCGTCATGCAAAACACCATCTTCGTCTTTTTCTGTTACCGTTAACAATACTTCTTTTTGTATCTCTGATGTTTGTGGCATAGTTGTATGGTCATCATGATTAAAGCTTAACTGTGTCTCACCCTTTTTGCTCGTTGATGCAATGTTGTCCTCACTGATAGCTCCAGTCTGTTGACATGGAGGATCATGTTGAAGGCCATCCGCTTCTTCAGCTACAGCTGTGGCTGACCCAGGGCAGGACGCTGGAGATTTCAGAAATCCACTGTTACAAGCCGGTGGTAGAAGAGTTGACGAATCTGAAGACACTTCTTTCGATGATAGATCAGTATTTCTGAAAAAAAAAAAAACTAAATTTAAGCTCTAATAATAGCAAAATATCAATATGTTATGTATGTTTTAATTTTAAATTTAAAAAATAGTAAGACGACGATGTGATTTTATACCAGTAGTTGTGAACATCACAACAGTTTTTCCTTGATTTTTGTCGTTCATATTTTTAGATTGTTGACCAAAATTTTATATTCCATCCAAAGTTTCAAGTTACCAGTTACCGAAAACTTTAAAGCCACCGCAATAATTTTACCTTGTACGTGAAAATTAGGCCTGCTGTCTAACCAGTGCATCAACAATCGAGGCCATGCGGTGCGTGGACCACAACAATAATAATACTTATATTATTAAAAAGGTGTTAGCAAATAATGAATATCTATGAATGCCAAGTCCCGTCGCACGCACGTGACCCCAAACCTTCTTGTACAAGGGACAGGGACAGTTGCTCGGAGGATGAATAGCGAGGTGGTCCGGCCTTTAAATCCCATTAGTCACGCCTCACCGAACACTCCACTTAAAAGCGGATATGAAATAAATAATCATTATTTGCGAAAATACTTAATACTGTATTGTTAGTTTTCATAATACAAGCAATCGTGTGTTTGTCCCATGTTAATCGGTGTTTATTATTATTACACGAATGGTGTATATATACAGTTAACTAAACGTTGTTTGGGATAATTTTTCTTGTTATAATATAAAGAGTTCAAAAATAATAATGACATCAAAATAAAACTACAAATAAAAATATGTTATTTTTAATTTGATAAGTTAAGTCATTAAGTACACTGAATAGAATATTTGACGGGCAGGAATACGGCTAGTCCATGATTCCCTGTGCTTGTGTGCGTGTGTGTGTGTGTGTGCGGTCCGTGCGTGTGTTAGTGAACCTACCTGGCCTCCATCGGCATTCCGATTTTTTAATACTAATACTAAAAGTTAATTGTAATATTTTAGGGGAGAAAATTTGCACCAGGTTTTAGTGTCAAAACCCTACGATAAACAATAAATATTTAAATCGTACATTTAATTTCTAGGGCCTAAAAGTAAGAGTTACCATCTTCGACCCGAGTTCAAGTAGAACGATCGAGGCCGGGAAGCCAAGGTCGGAAAATATATTTCTTATTTCTTTTCATAAATATCTTTTTGAAAATATTTTTTGAACCATATTTTCGTCTTATTGTACCTGTACCATTATTATTTTATTTTATTAAACTACGTTACAAAACCAAAATAAATAGTTGTCATTTAAAGATACTAGCCTCTCAAAACCACTTCTAACTTATTTTTAATTTAATTTGGCTAGTGAAAACAAGCAGCTTTCGTAAATTTTATGATTCAATCGTTTTGTCTAGTATACATTACTATTAGTCATTAGTATTATTAAACTTAGACTATATTATCGATATGTCGAACTGTTTACAATAATAAGGCAACAATAAAATAACAACAATTAACTTAGACAATACAATTTGCATTTTTAACAATTGAAATTTACAACTGAGTTGACAACAGCTGATTTTTACTCGCTAGGAGCATAGACAATAGATTACAATGGTCGATTGTCTGTGCGAGGAGCTAAAAACGTGCATTAAAACTGCTGTTTTGGTGCAGTAGACCAAGGTCACACTAATTTTTAGTGTGGCATTGAGTAGACGAAGAATTCTATATAGTCGTAAAACATATATAATAAGTCTAGGTAACAAAAACAACTCACCTTTGGTTCTCAACAATAGGGTTCCATCTCGCTTCATCGCTGAATTTAAACTCGATAACTTTGTGTTTTACTTCCAACTGGTTTTTGACCTTATAAGGATGTTTCTTTTTGCAGTGTTCATTCCATTTGTCATGCCTAACGGTAGCATTGCACAACAACTCTAAACATTTATACTTAAAAAGCTTTTGTTTTTTGGGCATTTTTACAGAGAAAAATAAACCACGAGTTAGCACTCTAGATCACCATGATGTACCTACATTACTCACGACTCTGTGGTACGTAATTATAGATGGAAATTGAGTAATAGTACCGGTTACACAATTTAACAAAGTCAATAAAGTCTTTACCGTACGTAAAAACTAAGAAATTAATGTAACTTTTAAAATTATAAAAGAATCAGTGATGTAGGCCTACTACCGTGCGTAACCGAGAATCAGCAGAGAACTAATGTAAAAATGCGTAAAAAGGTAGGGATTGATAGCAAACATATACTTCCGGTGCATATTTCTCGTGGGACTTCCTCTCTCCATGCCATTCCCACACAACGGTAGCCTATAAACGACACAGTTATGTAGTTCTTATATCGTTGTTCCCATAGCGCAAAAATGTCTGTTTTAAAAAGTTTCTGTCAGTTACGCTACGGTGACGAGTTTTATTCCACTATTTCAAGTCACACTATACAAACCCATTCCACTATACAACAATGAACAACTGTAATCTAGTTGTCGACAACGCTTTCTTTCTTCAAAACTATTATGGTTGTTTAAAAACGGTGTTCTGTGGATCAGATAATTAGATAATTTATATAATATTCAATAGTGTAATAATAACTTTTGTAAATCTACAGTCATTAATTGAAATTCTTTTTTGTGTCGTATTTTTTTATTTTTGTCATGTTACACGGTTTTTACCAACTTTACCCCCCCCCCTCAACTCCTTTTTGGACCCCCCCCAAGAATTTCAATGACGCAGTCTGCGTCATAGCCCCCCCCTGTGGGCACCCCTGGTTAAGAGTCAGATTGATCAGGTCAGAATTGGTCAGCTATATAGTTAAGAATCTTGAAATCCACCAGCAAACTTACATAAAATCAATTTTGAAGACTAAATGAGGCTCTTCAGTAGACTACCAGACACTAGCTGACATGTGACAGAGTGTGATTCTTCACCAATATGTATCCAAACACGATATAAATATAGACTATTCTATTTATTTCTATTTCCTGTACATTTAATGAATCATTTACTGCTTGAAAATAAGATGGCAAAAATCTTAGGTGGTTGGAAATTGAAATTAATAAATGTTATCAGCAATCCTGACACATACTCTCTCCCAGTATCTTGTCCTAACACATACTCTCTCCCAGTATCTTGTCCTGACACATACATTCTCCCAGTATCTTGTCCTAACACATACTCTCTCCCAGTATCTTGTCCTAACACATACTCTCTCCCAGTATCTTGTCCTGACACATACATTCTCCCAGTATCTTGTCCTAACACATACTCTCTCCCAGTATCTTGTCCTAACACATACTCTCTCCCAGTATCTTGTCCTAACACATACTCTCTCCCAGTATCTTGTCCTAACACATACTCTCTCCCAGTATCTTGTCCTGACACATACATTCTCCCAGTATCTTGTCCTAACACATACTCTCTCCCAGTAGGCCTATCTTGTCCTAACACATACTCTCTCCCAGTATCTTGTCCTGACACATACATTCTCCCAGTATCTTGTCCTAACACATACTCTCTCCCAGTATCTTGTCCTAACACATACTCTCTCCCAGTATCTTGTCCTAACACATACATTCTCCCAGTATCTTGTCCTAACACATACTCTCTCCCAGTATCTTGTCCTAACACATACTCTCTCCCAGTATCTTGTCCTAACACATACTCTCTCCCAGTATCTTGTCCTAACACATACATTCTCCCAGTATCTTGTCCTAACACATACTCTCTCCCAGTATCTTGTCCTAACACATACTCTCTCCCAGTATCTTGTCCTAACACATACTCTCTCCCAGTATCTTGTCCTGACACATACTCTCTCCCAGTATCTTGTCCTAACACATACTCTCTCCCAGTATCTTGTCCTAACACATACTCTCTCCCAGTATCTTGTCCTAACACATACTCTCTCCCAGTATCTTGTCCTGACACATACTCTCTCCCAGTATCTTGTCCTAACACATACTCTCTCCCAGTATCTTGTCCTAACACATACTCTCTCCCAGTATCTTGTCCTAACACATACTCTCTCCCAGTATCTTGTCAACAGCCCTTGTCATGGACAAGCAGAGGGAAAAACTATGACATTTTATGGGGAAAATAAGAAAAGTTGTGATAATCTTTTAACCGTAACTTTAAAATCACTTTTTAACCACAACATTCAAAGCACTTTTGGGTCCAGGGGAACCCAAAACAAAATAGTATACTTCATAAGTATAACATAAAAATGTTGACTGTAATAGTATATTTCATAACAAGAGTAGAAAGTAAGTCATTACATACTCGAGACCATATTATCGAGCACTTTACATGGTCGAGAATATGTAATGACTATTTTCACTTGTGTTTTGAACGATATTTTTCAGTACACTACAATGACTAATTATATCTTAATAATCAAAATAGACATTTTAGGTTATGTCTTCAATTTAACGTTAATATTTACTTTGGTTGTACAGTTTGGTTGTTGAATATTGAAATAGTTGACAAAACAATAAATAACAAGTCTTTGATTGTTTACGTCGGCAAAATCCAAAAATGATAGTAAACATTCTTTTGCCGTAGTAAACAATGTAATGATGAATTTTCACAGCTGATAAACTTATAACAAAAACAGGTCATTTCACAGTAGTGTAGCGAAAAATTACTTTCTCCATATACTAAGGAGGACAAAGTAAAAATTAAACATGGTTGTTAATATATTCTATGTTTGATAAAGAATTATGTTAGTATAATTACTGAGTTCAGGGAACGTAAATATAATCCTTACCTGCAGTGTGTTGCCTAGATCAGTCACAAACCAGACAGACTTTGGTCCTCCGACAAAAAATGAAACAAGTTCCATGACCCAGTTGATACCCATTATGATGAACAGCTTCAAGTATAGGTGAAATCTGGACAAGTTGAACATGGAAAATTATGACATTGTCATAACTTTTTACTTGTTATCTAAAATTAAATTTGTAGACTGAAACGTGTAGTGGTGAACGAATTTGCTCGCAAGAAGCCAACATTTTTTGGAAAAATGGAAAATTCTATGTAGTTTAAATACAGATAATTCCAAACTTACTGGGTAAGTCTGGGAGTTTGTGATGTTATTTTAGATTTGCTACATTAAATAGGGCCAAAATAACACCAAACTAAACCATTGTGAAACATACAAATTTCGGAATTTGCAACTTGATTAGTTACAACCTATCGGCCCAGATTCACAGCTGGATAAGTTTTTTTACAAACATTAATTCATTCTACTATAGAGATCGATGACTATAGTCTGTTCACAAAACGTGGGCGGTTTGAAGTGAAGGTCCCCCATTACTATTATTTGCTTAATTATGTTGCAGTTGATAGACATGTTTTAAGCTATATAATTTTATAGAAAGGTAGGATCCAGGAGAGGGAATAGATTTCTTTCCCTTCCTCTAAAACTGCCAAAATTTTGTGGACGGAGTATAAATATCAAACCTCTTTCAAAAGACTTAGAAGCCGGTCCCTGGTATAATTCAAATGCACATTTTTCTATGAAAAATAAGTAACCAAGGAGAACCAACTAGTACCTGACAATTATGCGTGGCTGGAAGGGAGTAAAGAATATCATAGTATTGGACAATCTTATAGATATATAGCAAAGATATAGATATATTTTAAAAAGTATCTAGATAAGTTATAAAAATATTGATGTAGACGGACAGGACAGTTAGGTACCGTAGTTAATGATTTGATTTCTAAAAAGGTTTTTCAAGATAAGAAAAAAACATATTTAGTACAAGTCATATTTTGTATAGCCTAAAAGGAAAGTGCCTCATTATTCTATCCAACCAATGTAATTTAGTTTTCTTTTCTAATGGTTGATTGCTATTACTGTTTTAGGATTTCTAAAATTTTATAAAACAAATTTGTGCTCTTTTGTTTGTTAAAGTGAGACTATTTTCTCTTTTCCTTTAAATTTTTGCTCTATTGTATCAAATAACTACTCTATATTATTTTCTCTTGTATAAGAATACTATTTTACCCATTAAATACATTAATTTTAAATATTCTGACCATTTTTTGTTATTTTTACATCTACCTGATTTTCTAACTATTTCAAAGTACAGTAGAGTCCCGCAAACTCGGTACTCGATAACCCGGCAGTCTGGATAACTCGGCCATCACCTGGCTCAGAAAATTAGTGATTTTTAGAGTCTTAGTTAAACATGGACTCAAGCCAGCTCAAGTCAAATCATTCACATCTCGTACCAAGGGTATGTTGTACTATATCTGATGACTTAATAATGACTAATAAAAAAAGGCGGTTAAAAAGCTTTAAAATTGTATTGTTCTTATTTTTAACCCTAGTTCCCGATAACCCAGCATCCTTCCAGTCCACATTACGCCGAGTTTGCGGGACTCTACTGTACCACGGAAAATTCTCATTTGCACGCTTATTTTTTGTCACATGCCATTGAAAGTGGGGAATTTGTGAACAGTTTGAATTAGGCTTTAATCATAATTCCTCTCCTATGATGTAGTATGTAACTTAATATTTTTCTCAACTGAGTTCACATTTACCCCAAAATTGTAGGCATTTGTGAATGTCGTCCGGGCAATTGTGAATGCTGAATAACTCCTTCACTAAATAGGGTATGAAATCAGCTTATATGAAATATTAAGCCCAAAATATGTATAATGCTATAACACTGACCACATTTTTAAAATTGCTTAAAATTTGTTTGTAAATTGCGTTTATCTGAAAAATTTGTCATTGACGTTCACAATTACCCATGTTGACCCTAATGCATTATTAAGTTACATTAATTTTTAAACCAAACACAAACTGATTAACTTATAAAATTAATTTTTTTTATTGTGATATTTATATTAACTAAAAAACTAGGGAACCCCCCAACTCTCATAATATATAATTGCTTGATATCTACAGGAATTGTCATTGAGATACACCGAAACTAAAACCTACCAAGAGTTATAACCCATTCTCTTATTCACTTCATTTAGAGATTGGATGTTTGAGGGCTGATCTGTAAGGATTGTTTTAGAATTATATAAAAAGGGTGTAGACTACAGGAAACAAATTTGTTTGTATACATTTGAAAGAGAAACAAAATACTACTTTTCTACATGGCCGCAAAACAAATTGAGGTATTTATCAAAGCGGTAACAAGCTTTGAAATTCCTATATCGTAAAAGTTTGCAACCTCAAGCATAGCCACCCGGTGACACACTGACACGCAATCAAAGGTCTGTGCTGCTAACCAAGTCTTCATTTTGGTGCACAAAACAAGTAAAAGTCACTCGAAGCCAGGTATCCAAAACCACCTGGTAGGAAGCCAGGAGGACCGATGTAGGTCAGGGTGGTTGTGGGAAAATCTTTCAATTGAATGATGAACCAGATTGTGTTTTAAATTTGACATTCGGGAATTGCCATGAAAAAAAATTTGTACATTAACAAGTTATATGCCTTTTTTTAACTAAATTTAATTTTTTAACCTGGATAGAAATTTTATTTATTACATATACATTGCTTATGTACACTCTTTATCCTTGAAAAAAATTCTCATAGGTTTTTTTTTCAAGTGTACGCCCATCAAAACCGTATTACACAAATCGCACCTCACAACTCGCAAAAATTTAAGCTGAAGCACACTTTTTAATATGGTAGCAATGAGGGGGGAGCGGGCAGCACAAATGATGTCTTGGCTGGACAGTCAGCGAGTAGGCGAACTCGTCTTTACTAGAAAGTACACAGCCAGAGCGCCCCTAACGGTGTCATAGGGAAACGTTCATTACTCTCTGAACAGAGTGAACAGGCCTTGTCTACCAACCAGAACAATAAAACAGTATGCAATACCCAGTTGTCATGATATTTTTCTTAGAATATTTTACAGACTTTAAAAACACTGTTCTACTTAGTTCAATCAAGCCCTCTTCTACTTTCTATAAAAGCTGTACCATACCAAGGCGTATAAAAGAAGGTGCTGTGCATAGTGGTGTCACGTGCGAGCTGAAAGTGATTTATTTTACCAAATCATATGTTTTCTTGTAATTTCCCAAAGACTTTCGAATGACATCAATATGAATTAAATATATAACACGATTTAGTTTTATATATCCAATATAGTGTGTATTCAACATTGAATATACTGTAGTATTGTTATACAATATGGCAGTAGTCTAGAACATTTAGTAAGTACCATTTAATCGAAAAACAGTAAAGCAGTAAATACTTGATACGAGCCCTTGTTCAAATCCATCCGTAGCTCATTGATTTTAAGTAGCAGGACATTGATATCTGTACAGAGTCATTTTCTCTTTTAAGAGTTGTTTGCTGCGGTCACGATTTTCTACTTCGCAAACGAGAGAGGCTATTCGGTAAGCGTCTAGTAAATTTTTGAAGTTAAACCATAGTCCCCTATGGGTTTAGTAGTTTAGTGCTTAGGTTTAGTGTATGTCATTGAAGTAATAGAATCTCTACAACTTAAGCTATATATGTCATTTTTTGCTGTTTTTGTTAAATTTTATTTTCAACTAAGGCTACTTAAATGAGAGATTTTCAATTATATAAAACATAAGTAGGAGCGCTGCAAAAAAGGTATTATATTAAAAACTATTTGTATATGGTCACCTAAAAATATATTTCCTGTTAGGCAGCCACAGTTACAGTATTTACTGCTTTACTGTTTTTCAATTAAAAGGTACTCACTATCAAAATATTATATACTACCACCATTGAATATACAACTGTATAACACTATGACTATATTCAATATTGAATACAACACTAATATTGGATATAAAACTAAATAGTGTTATATATTCAATGCTAATTTGTAATGATTGTCATTTGAAAGTCTTTGGGAAATTACAAGAAAACATATGATTTGGCAAAATGAAACACATTCAGCGCGCACGAGATGCACACTCCTTCTTTTATACACCTTTGGTACCATAGACCTATTTACTTGCACTGTTAGCAGTGACAATATCAAAAGCAATGCAACGCACCACACACATCTAAATCAAAGGTTCTGATTGCATCTAAACAGTTTATATTACAGTATTCCTAGCGTATACTTACCTGTCTCTATCACTCTCATTGGTCCTGCGGCTCTCACTCGAGTGCAACACTTTGGTGGTCTTTGTATGAGCTCTAAGTCTGATAGCAGTAGACACAAACATCACCAAGTTAGTCACCACCACCACTGCAATGGGCAAATAGAAGTACAGCAGTGTTCCGTTGTTGTCTGAAATCAAAGTGAAATTTAACCTTTTTAACTCCAAAACAGAGATTTATATTTGTTGATCCTCCTTCACACCCACTTTTTAAGGCTGTTTTTTGCATATAGCTCTGTAGCCCATGTGTACACCATAACGAGGCTTCTCGCCCCTTACCGACATCATTTGTGAACAGAATGACACCATTTGCATCTCTGTAGCCAATGAGTATGAGTTTGCTGAAAGTAAAAAATTTTTGAATCTTCCGACACGTGCATGTGAGGTAAGGTCAGTGATACGGTTTTTTGATTCAAAGAAACATACTGATGCCAACATTCATTGCTAGATGCTGTCTGAAGTTATTGGCTCTAATGCAATCAGTGAGAGTTGAGAGCTGATATGTGTTATGGTGTAAATAATACCCCCGCCGCAGCATACTTGCCGACTAAGCGAATTTCCATTTATCTGAATTTTTAAATTAAATCTATTTAAATAACAAAATAGATAGGTTTAATGAGTACCTAGGTTTGCTGCTACAAGGAACCTAATAAAATGTGGATTTTAGTAAAATATTAATAGCTTGGTATAAAATAAATAAATTTGCCATGTTTGATCAAAATTTACCCAGGAACAAGCAAACTGCAACATATCTTACAATTCGCCATAAGAATAACTTTGAAATTTTAAATTAAATTTTTTTTAAATTTTCTCTATTACCAATAACGAATAACTGTACAAAAACACTTTGACATACTGTACCAATTATTTGATCTTTTAAGCTCTTTAAAAAGGTTAAGCGAGAAATTGGAAAACTTTGTGTTTTGATGGTCGAAAAAAAAACAATTATTAGGTACCCCATAAAACCCCCCGTAAAACTCCGATCCCATGGTCCGATAACGCTTGTTCGCAAACTCATTAAAGTTTATCCGGCCTTACACCTTTAAACAAACCAAATTTCATCAAGATCAGACAAAAATTACTCAAGTTATCGTGTTCACAGACTCATATAACTCTTTATACTATTTATACATATATACAAATTTGAACGAATATGGTGTTTTTGGCCTCTGGGGACATCAAAATGATAAAGTAAATCTGTCCCGGGCCTAGGTCTTACCGTGCCATCTACGGTAATACCGTAACTACTTTTTCCCTATAGGGAACTTCGCTAAAATGGCCATGAAAAACTATTTCCTTCACGACCTTCTTTGAGAGACTTAACTACCCCTATAACTTACCCACCAAAAACCCAATTTCTTTTTAAATAAACATTTTCGCAGCCATGTTTAACCCCCCTAGCACATTTCTGCCTTTTCCCTCAATGGTATTCTGTTCAAAAATGATGTTACTAAGCGGAGAGAATCCATGTTGTAGTGTAGACGCGAACTACGCCGCCTTAGGAGCTATATGCAAAAACGACCCTTACTTAAAAACAGACCCTAATATAGGCTTTGGACAGTGGCTTTTCAAAAATCCCCACACAAACTTCTTTAAACACTCAACAATTTAGGGGTATTGTACTTGTTAGATGTATAAACGGTATTCATTTTAGAGGCGTCATGTAGTCAACGATGCACAGTATTGAGAATATAACAAAATTGTTTAAATAAATATTATGGATTTATTTTGTTTATAAAAACTAATATTGGAGCTACTAACCAAATAGTCAAATAATACAAGAGCAATTGAAACAAATTTGTAAATCTGCTTCAATAAGCAGAGGCGATATAAAGCATGCCATTGGTAGAAAAACTCTAGTAGGTGTCCTAGAGCTAGAAATTGTCCACCAATCCTCTGCCTCATTTGATGGACATCATGTGATTTCTAAATTAATTAAGGGGTTATTGAAGGATCTTTTGTCAAACCAAAACAGCTGCCCTTTTTTCTATCAGCTGACATCACAAATTTTAAAGCAGCTGCTCTAACAATTACTCCTAAGACACTGATCATGATCAATGTTCAGAAAAAAAATAATGTTATGGTATTCACTTAAACACTTCTCAGCTCCCAGGTCAAACTGTTTCAGTTTCTTATTCATGTATAGCTAGCTATAAGTTTAATGTAATAAGTGAAGTACTACCATATAGATAAAAGGATACTCCCTTGGTAAATTTCCCATCCTTATGGAACAGCTGAAGCCAATTTCATCGTTAGTTCTGTCAGATGTCGTGTTTTGTTTACAATTTGTTTCTTGTTATTTCAGTACTGGTAATTTAAAACCCCGTTTAACCAAATAAAACGATATAATCATAAACAATACCTCATCATCTAGTTATATGACCAAACAATCACAAACACTAGTTCGACACTAGTCACCAGTGTCACAGAACAAGAACTAGACACGAAAAAATGAGCTTCAAAATTTACAATGGGATGGGAAGTCCACTTGTGTTGGTTAGTCTATGGTCCTACCATAAGTTGACGCCCCAATAATAATTTTGAAATCCTCTAATAGGAGAAGGAAAAGAGCATTCAAGATTACATTTAGAACATATTTGTAAGAATTGTGGATAGAATATTTTGTTACGAAATACAGGCTTATGTAGATGAATATGTTATGCACATAATTGACCTGCAAACCAGCATTTTTGCTCCCCGAACCGAGGCTTGATCCAAGTGTCAGGCACTCCAGGTATCATGTCCATGGCTATGGAGACTCCCACAATGAACATAGGCACTCCCCAAGCATATAGAGAGTAGTACAGAAACTTCCTTTGTTGCCTGCCCTGGACTGGCTTCATGTTACTGGAAACAGTCATTAAATCATAGGAAAAGTTACAACACATGAGGGGTTTATTTTTCACCCACTCTCCAGAACTTGGTTTCACATTGGTCTTAAACTACAACTCATTTCATAACCAGTCATGACTTACGAGTCATCGTATGTCTATATTGCACAACTTAACATATGAACAAATTTTAGAAAAAAAACTTTGGTGGTTTCTATTTACCATTAGGGTAAAGGTGACAAAAAACAATAGTAAAATTTTTGTTTTGTTATTGCTAGTTCAATAAACATCATAATGAAGCAGTTTTCCCCAATATATTACCTAATACCAAATACATTATACAATACATTACCCAATACGATACCAATAAATTTAATAATTCTCAATAAGCTTCATATGAACATCACTATTTTAGTTACAAACTTCACGAAGTAATAAACACAAGCTGGCACGGGTAGTGTTTAGGCGATAAAAGAAAGACCACAACCACCTTCACAGTGTCCAAGTTGGCTGGTTGTGCTACTGCTACAATTCATAATTTCATTATTATAAGCTGATGTGTTATAATATATTAACTCTCTAATATTAAGCTGTGCTATAATATATAAAATAACTCCTAACTCCCTTTTAAAATATGCCAATTTAATTGTTCTCCAAAGACTTGTATGTTTTTGCTGATATTTTTCAATCTTACAGGATAAAAACCCACGTTTGGAAATTCAAAATGGAATCTGATGAACCTTGCATTTGAACTATAAATGTTCATTTTTCATATGGCAGTCTAAAACAATTTAAAATTCATTCTGCTATTTTTTCATGTCTGCCGTTTTAAGCACGCATACATTGTAGTTGGTCAAGACTAATTAATATCAGGAACTCGCATTACTTTAAATATTACAAATGAAATACAATTATTTATTTCAAAATGAGGAAATTTGGCTCTATTTACAACTAATTTGACTTACTTAACAAAATTAAAAGCAAAACATTTCCTTGAGATACCAGCTCATTATACAAGTGCGTTATCAAGAGTTCTGCCTTGTAACGTGATTTCCCACGACTTGTACCTACTGTAATGATGATCGAGGAAACTTTGCAGGATATAGAACAAGAAGAGTATTTTATCCCTGACTATATCTAATTAAAATATCAAGGACGTGGGAACCCTACTGGATGATCTTTTCCTTCTGCAAGGTTACATTTGCATTATTAGGAAACATGTATGGGGTATAATAATTGAAGAAGTTTCCCGTAAGTTTTGAAGATTTTACTTATTATACATGAGTTTACTTCCAATTTTGAAAATTAAATTCCAGAGAAGCCTTATATCGCAATTGCAATCGATTTTAGCTCTAGAAAAGCGAATGCACAAATTGAGTGGTTTCCTTGATTAGAACTTAGATATTGGTCATCACAACGAATAACTTTCATTTTCGAAAATACGATAGGTATACGAAGTCATCCAACTTGAAGAGATTATGGGAATGAATGTCAATGAATGTGTACCTATAGAAAAATCTAAACATATATATGTTCATATTTTCGGAATTGATGTAGTTGGAAGATCGCAAAATGTTCAGTTCAGCCTGATTTGGGTTTATCTTTTAAAATTTTTCCTTGCCCCTAACCTTATTTACAACCGAGATCAATGCCAACTTCTTCTCTATGCTTAGGGCCAGATTGAAAGCAAGTAACTATTTCGTAAACTTCATTCCATGTAGCTCAGAAATATCTAGAATAAACGTTGTATTGTCTTTAGATTAAAATGTATTCGTAGGAAATCAGCCACATAATCATGTTGATAATTTAATTGCTTTACGTTTGGAATCTTGTTGCGATTGATCCGTTTGGATATTCATGAGATTTCCACACATATTCTATCCTAAGATTTACAGGACTCATTTAGAAAACAATCTTTGTCATTGAAGTAAAACAAAAATGAAAAAAAAACTCGTCTCAAAACTAAGAACTTATTTTTTTACTGACAAAATTATTTAAAGAATCAGAATGTTATCGTGCGAACAGTATACAACAATGTGAACAACATATTGTATCTCATTCAAGTAACAATATGATCAGAATGGCTTAGCGAACAACATGTTTAGTTATAACATAAAGGACGCACGCTAAATTCTATCGAGGAGGCTGATGCTCGGCAAGGCCGGGTCTGCTGACATGCTGAATGAGCTGAACACGCTGTTGACGACATCAAGCCGTAGTCAGCAACCTCTAGACCCGGCGACGGTGTCAAGCTATCCACATTTTACAATGTCACCATGATATCACATATACACAACATCTGGAAGAAACGTTGGGACGACCAAAATCATTCCCTCACTAATGAGGACGTATTTATTAGGACGGGCACTTTATTTTACTTGTCAATGAAAATAATGACGATAAATTACCAGGAGCGTTACTACATATTTGCGATGTAAAAAAAGTTCAATTAAATTATTTCCAATTTTTAATGTCTAACAAATAATGCATGTATTCGAGAAACTTTAATGGTTGCCAACGAATTTCCAATATGATGTTTTGAAATCCGTGTTGGTAAATTCGTTATTGCGAACCTAAACTGAATCGGAACAACAATAACAAACTGACAAGAATAACTTGAAGAATGGGAGACGCGTACGACTGAAAGTCACTAACAGAAAACATGGTTCTTATTGTTCTTCTAGCAAAGATATACAGTTGAAATGAGGTCGTAGTAGAAGATGAAACTTTACTCTGGTGGCAAAAACAGACGTACCATATGTATGTAGACTAAGATTTAAGTTTCAACTTACCGTACTTGGAGTTGGACAAACATTGCAGTTTTTTAACCTGTCTCATTAATAACTCTAATCCCTATTAATGAAAAGTTTGTTTGATCTATGAAAATACTGATGATACTGTCAATCGTTGAAGAACATGCATCAAAAAACAAACTGTGTTGTGCAACATAAAAACATGTTAAAACACATTTTATCAATTGAGATGGGGACGCCACATAGGTGCGTATTTTAACCCAAATATGAGTGCAGAATGTGAGTGCAGAATGGAATGAGATGATCGTTTTAGATCAGCCGTTTCATTAGCTAGGACCATTTGATTTAAAGCCCAATGATCAGGGCAGCTGGACACATTACTTGAATTATAGCAAACCAAGTAATAGTGAGAACAATATAAATACAATTTAGAACAAAATAAGACTAAATTAACCTTACCTGAAGACCAACCAAATGTCAAAACACATAACGTTCAGCCAGAAGAAAGACGCCAAGAATGAGAACTGCACAACGAACGCTGAAATAGAACATTGTGAATTATAGCATGAATTTAAATAAGATTCCCAATTTAAATTATATCTTCAATCAATTACAGCCTACTAACTATAGCCTGACGGATGAACCTTAACGTGTTGTGGAGCAACAGGGAAGCACCTGCAATACCATAGTAGGTAGTATTGTAACCGTGTGGAAAACGGAAGGCTGCTGAAAGACTTTTCGTTCCTTACTTATCGATCTTAACGTTAGGGACATTTAGAAATTATTATAGGACCAACATACAGTACTAATTTTGACGTTTCATGGCAGCAGTTTAAAATGGAATAATGAGGAAAAATAAACTCTTTTGCGACAGTGTTTTCTGCAAATCAGGTAGGACAGAACGATTGATAGTAAATTCACACACACACACGTACTCCTTAAATAAATAGACATTCAAAATGCACATAATGAACCTTGACAGTTTAGTTATAATATGAAGTAGTCTGACATTGGCAGGGTAATTGTACTTATGAAGTAGTCTATTATTTTACTTTTGGCATGCTTACTATTAATACATAATAAGCAGGCAGGGTGCCGTTGCTTCCAAAGTGGCCAGCTTTAAACAGTTAACATTTTATTTTTCTGGAGTATATTTTTATGTAACCTTATACTTTTGTGTTTCGCAGTTGTGTTGACAATTGTTCAGTTGAAGATAATGTAAATACGTGTAATTCTGTAAAGTCAATAACGAAATTGTTGAATAAACTATACATTTAAAAAAGCGATCTGTATTTGAAATAATAGATGCAATAGATAAGAGGTAATTAATGCATAGTTATATTTATTCAATGCCCGCATTTGTATGAAAAATGAAAACAAAAATACTATACGGTGAATAAAATACGTCATGAGACGCAATACATACAACTCTATTATCCTAGCAATAAAAAACAAGAATATAAAGGAGGATAGAGTAAAGCACAGCTAGAAGTGTAGGCCTAAATGACATTGGCTAATAACATCAACAACCGGTTTGTCCGTAGATGTGTGGTCGAGGGTCGAGAAGATCACTCTATAGTCTGCTACAACAACAACAGGGAATGCGAGAACTGTTGAGATCTTCCGGAGTGAAGTTGTCATACTTGGGATCAAGATGTAGCATGAGATAAATATCAATGTGTCAACATCATGTAGGCTTAAATGCTGTGTTGCAACCATCGAAAAATATGTTTTTCGTTAATGGTGAACAATCCAAAGGTAGATTAATACACCGAATTAACTCGAGTAAATAAATAGTAACGATAGTAAATAAGGTGTCCATAGTAGGATTATCAATAAAAACATTTGAACAAAGACCCTTCCCCAGTTGTTGTTACCATTCATTTATACATTATTTTTACTATTTTAGTTTATTTTATTTTAATATATTTTTGGTTTGAAATAATGCATCAAAATTTAAAATGTGGAAGGACTAGTGCATCAAGTTATTGATCACGATCACATGCACATTTTTCTAGAAATAATAACGTAATAACCCAAGAAGTACGTTTATGTCCATTACGAGAACAAACCAAATAAATCCTGGCTCTTCTCAGTGGTGAGATGTTACAAACAAACAACTTAAGAGAAAGAAAAGAAAAGAAGATAAACTCCCATGTTAACAGTGGTATTTCGGACGAAACGTAAACTAGATTGGTAAACATAGAAGATAGGAAGCCACCTGTCTTTCATACTCAGTGAAATGTTCATTGAAGTCGCTTAGCTATGAAGGAAAGTAGGGTTTAACTGCTTTACTCTTACCATATATAGCAAACTCTAAATACCCAAAAAAATATACAAGGTTAAACTGATACAACAGTTCTCATCGAGCCCTACACCTGCTGTAACTGATTTCAAGTTCAGTAAATAAAAGACTCCTATCGTACTATCAGTTGTATCAATAGTCAAAGGTACCATATTTTTGGGAACGGTTTGCCAAACATAAAATCTTTTCACAAAAACAATAGAACTAAATTATTACCAAAGACTTTTTTAGCTGAGAAATACCAAAAAGTTAAATATTGTAAAAAAAAATTAAATAGGGTAATCAAGTAAATTCCATCACGATATTTTGCCAACTTGGATTTTCTCAGATGAATTCCTTAACTATTTGTTTCGGACTGCACACACACTGTTTACCATTGTTGCCTGCGTTGTAAAATGTGTGATCTTTACAAAAATTGATGACACCACTTCAACAGTCGAGCTAAACGAGAAACATCTAGTCATGAAAAGTTAAATTGTGTCTATGGCCACTTTGCAATGATTCTAACACTGAGTCATCTGGACTAAATAAACTCGCCTTATCCATCATAGTTGAGTTGGTATCACCGCCATCGATTGAGGAAATTTACGGTTGTTTATTTTTACCGAAATTAATCTTGTGTTACTTTTAGCGAATTTCCCTACAGGGAAGTAGCTATTACCGTAGGTGGCATGGTAAGACCTAGGCCCGGAACCGATTTATGTACTTTTTTGCGATGTTCCAAGAGACCAAAAACACAATTCGTTCAAATTTGTATATATATATACACCTAATATATCTATAAATCTAAATGAAATATAACTAATATTTAATATTTATGAACTTGATTTGGCAACCCAGACTTATCAAATCCTACATTTATTATTTATTACGTTAGAAATTATACTCTTAGCCATCCAATAAATGGCTAAAAAGTTTTAAATATATTTTTGATGATTAAGAGAGGAGCTTGTTTAATGATTGAGGGTAATCTATCTATACTTATTTAATACGCAAGCAGGTTTTTTGTGACAATTACTCCTCCGAAACTACTGAACCGATTGACATGTTTTTGGTGTCATTGGAAAGAGCGTAACGTAAAGTTGTGCAGGAAACCTTCTTTTTAAGGAAATAATTAGAGATTGAGGACCTGGAGCCCTTTAAAGTTTCGTATTTCTCCATAAGGATAACAATGGAGATAATTTTTATTTACAGAAACATATGTTTGTTTCTTGAAAATAGTCAAAGTCTACTACATAATAATTGCTGTGTATTATGACTGTTAATGTATACTACATTTCCATCAAAGATTGTGTGCCTTAAACGTTACTCATATTGGATCTCACTACTTTATTTTCATGCTGGGAATAGTAAAATTTAGTTGAGAATAAGTTACCATATTTAGAAAACTTTACTATAATAATTGATGTATTTAAAATCACAAATCTTTGACATTATTAATTCATTAGAAACGAAACAGCTGATCGAGAAATCAAACAAATCATCTACTTCATGTGAATAATGTTTTTACACAAACATAGTTTTTTTAGCCAACGACTTGATTCTTTTTTACCTGTGGGTGTATTTTGAGTTTGCAGTTATGAAAGCACCAAGCCAAGTAACTTTTATCAAATTTTATTTATAAACTAACATAGTATTAATGAATTACTAAATGAACTTGACAAGTTAGGTAATTAACTGCCAGTATGCGAAGAGGAAGAAGAGTGGGTCCTCGAAAACAGACGAAGGCGGAGCCACCCATCTAGAAAATCCAACTGAGTTTTTAAATATAGAGGTCAGTGGATTGCCAAGACACAGATTATACTAATTAAAAGGGGCAGTGGTTTTATTGATATTAATACATCAAAAAGGGCCTCATTAATGGCACAAGGCTTCATGTGATCAGAACGGTTAACAACAATGTAATGTAGAATGTAAAGTCCTAACTGGAACAAGTGAGTAGGGACATATTTTGATTTCGAGGATAAAAATTAGCCCGTCTGAAACAAACTTATCTTTTAAAATGGAAAGAATGCTAATTTCTGTTTTTTTTTTTACATTTGCAGCACAAGCACTTTTAAAGAGCAGCACTGTTCTTAGCCAGACCAATTTCAGTCATGAGCAAATAAATAAATATATATGCATTTGTATTTGTTGTTTTAAGTAAGGCTACATCTTTTAATAGGATACGCATGTTCATTACGAAAAATATTCTGACCAGGGTAATATTCCTGAAGGTAACTTTAAGACTTCATCGTAGTATTCATGGAAGTGCTTTTGTGATAAAAATATTGTTTTTTAGTGTTTATTTTAAAAGTGTTTTCTTAAAGCAGCATATTATGACCCTCAAAATATGCTACATAGGCCAATTTGTTTGATATGATTAAATGTTTTGTTAAATTTGTTTTTAAAAAATCTTAAAAAAAATAACTACACTATAACATACTTAACCTTGAACACTTATTAAATAAATAAATATAATACGCATACAGCTAGAAAATGGCTGGACTGCTTCCCTTCTAAGGCTTTATCATTACTGAATTTAATTTTCGACTTCGAGTCAATATATAACACGGTGAATTCGTTTTCTAAATTAATATGTTTTTTGCGGGGCATTGAGCCGCACAGGTTCACTAATAGTTTAATAAAGGGCAACCCTGACCATTAGATTTGCATGCATGTTTACATTGTGGCGGATCGTTTCTGTGTTCCTATACTTATATAAGTATTGGAAAGGACAAAACATAGCTGCGATTATTAACGAAACTTAGTCTTAGATATTTCTGTATTGACGTGTTTCTCGTCCTACTGAGGCATTATCACTTCCTGGCCGCCATGTTGGTGACCACCTGATAACAAGTGGTTAGCAATAGGAAACCACACCTCGGCATTCTGGGAACATCTGACACTGACATAGTTACGCATTATATAGGTCACATGTCACTTACTTATCCGATATTTTGTCATTGACTAGACACTACCGCACTTAGTGGTGATAAATGCTCGGTTCAAAAACTTCTAGGGAATAATAAACCATTTCCTGACTTTATTTGGCATTTACTAAACCAATCGCAAAAGTTGTGGGCGTTTTATTTCCACCAGCACTTGTCAAGTTATTAAATATTATGTTTACCCATTTTCGCGCATACGACATATAGTGGCTAAATGTGTGGACTTACTCTAATTGTTTATCAACCAGTCTAGGTCTAGCCGCGTTATTCACACTTACCGCTTATCAGTAGCGTATCAGTAAC